AGAAGGCCAGGGTGTGGCTGTACAATCTTTTGCTAAAGAGAGTAGGTGTATGACACATGGATCCAAGCAACCATCTCTGCAGAAACCAGGAATAGACAATGTAGTTATCTAGGAAAGATCCGAGGAGGGCCCTCTTGTCTAACGGCATGGGCACCCCCGCTGTGGCATACGCAGATCCAAAAGGTTTTTGAGAATGTTATATCAGCAGAAACACTGCCAACATGGACTGAGACAAGAACAGAGACAGGATAAAATGAGAAGAGGCTATTGGACTTCCAAAATTCTAAAAGCAGAAAATGGGCTGATAGAGCAACTTAGCTTCAGCTATGTGCTACCCTTCAGGAAAAGGAAAGAATGATTCTAAGGGCAGAGGCAGAGCAGAATGAAGCAGAAACAGAGGGCAGAGACCTGGCCCAGAGGGTAGAGACCTGAGTCCAGAGGGCAGAGCCATGGACCCAGAGGATGGAGCTGTGGGCAGCCATGGACCCAAAAGGGCAGAGAATCAAGCAACAGAGATTTATCCTCAAGCCTTGAAATCTAGTGGAATTTGCCCTGCTGGATTTCAAACTTGGTTGGCACCTGTGATCCCTTTATTTCTTCCAATTTCTCCCTTTTTGAATGGGAATGTCTACCCTATGCCTGTCCCACCATTGTATTTTAGAAGCATATAACTTGTTTTCTAGGTTCAAAGGTCCACATATGGAGAAGAATTTTGCCCTAGGATAGATCATACCCCGCGTCTTCCCCATACCTGATTCAGATAAGAAGATTTGGGACTTCTGAGCTGATAATATTTAGATGAGATCTTGGATTAAGTTGATACTATAAATGGGTTTAGACTTTAGGGAATTTGGGTGTAAATATGTTTTGCATGTGAGACAGAAACAAATTTTGGGGGGCCAGATGGTAGACTGTAGTGGGTTGAATAGTGGCCCCCAAAAAGATATGTTCAAGTCCTAACCTCTAGAACCTGTGAATGTGACCTTATTTGGCAAAATGGTCTGTTCGGATGCAATTAAGTTTAACATCTTGAGACAGGATCATCCTGTTTTATGGTGGGACTTAATTCAATGGTGTCCTTATAAGAGAAGGCAAAGGGAGAGTTAAGACACTCAGACACACAAGAGGAAGACCATACGAAGACAGAGGCAGAGACTGGAGTCAGGCAGCCCCAAACCTAGGAACACCTGGAACCACCACAACCTGGAAGAGGCAAGAAAGGATTCTCCCCTAGAGCCTTTGCAAAGAGCATGGCTGTGGCAGCACTGTGATTTAGGACTTCCAGCCTCTACAACTGTGAGAGAACATGTTTCTGTTGTGCTAATTTGTTATGGCAGCCCTAGGAAACTAACAGAATATCCAAAATAATTGAAAACAAGTGCTTAAATACTTGTAAACAAATGTGCATAGCAGCACTATTCACAATAGTCAAATAGTGGAAACAATCTAAATGTCCATCAATAGATGAATGGATAAACAAAATATGGTATACACATACAACGGAATATTATTCAACTATAAAACGGAATGATGAAGTACTAATACATGCTACAGTGTGGATGAAACTCCAAAACATTATGCTAAGTGAAGGCAGACAAACACAAAAAGTCATATATTGTATGATTCCATTTACATGAAATATCCAGAATAGATAAACCCATAGACAAAGAAAGAAGGCTGCTGGTGACCAGGAAACGCAGGGAGGAAGGAATGAGGAGTGACTGCTTAACAGGTACAGGGTGTGTGCCTATTTTCTTTTGAGGTGACGAAAATGTTTGGAACTTGATAAAAATGGCAGTTGCACAACATTGTGAATGTACTATGAATACGCAGTGAGTGTGCCACTGAATTGTACACTTTAAAATAGTTAATTTTATGTTATATGAACTTCACCTCAATAAGAAAACAATTCTTTAAAAACAAAAGTACAAAAATCATACTCTGAAAACTACAAAACATTGTTGAAATAATTCAAGAATGTCTAAATAAATGGAAAAATATCCCACATTCATGGATCAAAATATATTTTTAAAAGGGCAATACTTCCCAAATTGATCTGTAGATTCAATGCAACCCCTACCAGCTGACTTCATTGTAGAAATTGACAAGCCAATTCTAAAATTCACATGCAAAGTCAAGGGACTCAGAAGAGACAAAACAATATTGAAAAAGAAAAACAAGATATGAAGGATCACACTTCCCAATTTCAAAACTTACTACAAAATGGTAATCAAGACAGTATGAGAGGGGCCGGCCCCATGGCTTAGTGGTTATGCGCGCGCTCCGCTGCTAGCGGCGCGGGTTCGGATCCCGGGCGCGCACCGACGCACCGCTTCTCCGGCCACGCTGAGGCCATGTCCCACACACAGCAACTAGAAGGATGTGCAGCTATGACATACAGCTATCTACTGGGGCTTTGGGGGAAAAAATAAATAAATAAAATTATAAAAAAAAAAAAAAAAGACAGTATGAGAGTCCGGAAATAAAACCATGTGTTCATGGTCAACTGATATTTGACATGATTCAGTGGGGAAAGAATAATCTTTCCAACAAATGGTGCTAGGACAACTGGATAGCCACCTGCAAAAGAATGAAGTTGAGCCCTAATCTCACACCAAATACAAAAATTAACTGAATTATGACCAAATTATAAGAGTTAAAAATATAAAATCTATTAAGAGAAAACATGGGGGAAATCTTCACGACCTTGAATTTGGTGATAGGATTTTAGATATGATACCAAAAGCACAAGCAATAAAAGAAAAAATAGATAATGTGAACCTCATTGAAATTCTAAAATTCCATGCTTCAAAAAACACCATTAAGAAAGTGAAAACCCACATAACGGGAGAAAATATTTACAAATACACATGCATATATCTCGTAAGGAACTTGTATCTACAATATATACAGAACTCTTACAACTCAATAATAAGGAGACAAATAACCAAACGAAAAAAAGGGAAAAGATCTGAATACACATTTCTCCAAAGAAGATATACAAATTTCCATTAAGCACATGAAAAGATGCTCAACATCATTAGCCATCAGGGAAATGCAAATCAAAGCCACAATGAGATACCACTTTACATCCACTAAGATGGCTATAATCAAAAACACAGATAATAACAAGTGTCATCAAGGATGAGGAGAAATTGGAGCCCTCATTCCTTGCTGGTGGGAAAGTAAAATGGTGCAGCCACTTTGGAAACCAGTCTGGCAGTTCCTCAAAAGGTTAAACATAGAGTTAACATGTATGAGCAATTCCATTCCAAAGTATATACCTAAGAGAAATGAAAACCTATGTCCACATAAAATCTTGTAGAAGAGTATTTATAGCAGCACTGTGTATAATAGCCAAAAAGAGGGACAAACCCAAATGGCCATCAACTGATGAATGAATAAACAAAACATGGAATAAATGGAATATTATTCAGCCATAAAAAGAAATGAAAGACTGATACATGCTACAACATGGATGAATCTTGAAGACATCATGCAAGTGAAATAAGCCAACCACAAAAGACTATATATTGTATGATTCCATTCTTATGAAATGTCCAGAAATTCCAGAGACAGAAAGCAGAACAGTGGTTGCCTCCAGTTGGGGGGATGAGGAGAATGGGGAGTGATGGCTAAAGGGTACAGTATTTCTTTTTGAAATGATGAAAATGTTTTAAAGTTGATTATGGTGATAGTAGCACAACTCTGAGAATACACTAAAAACCATTGAGCATGTCACTTTAAATGGGTAAATTGTATGGTATGTGACTTATATCTCAATAAAGCTATTACAAAAAATAAAAGGAAGCAGCGCGCATACGAGAGTCTCCGATCTGTGTCTAAAGCCCAGCAGTTTACACAGTAACTCTCCATGTGTCATTTTATTTGGTCCTTCTAGCAAGCTTGTGGTGGAGGAATTACCTCTATTTTAAAGATATTACTATCGAGTGTGGTCTGGTATCAAATCAAACCCTATCTTCAAAAAGAAAGACAGAAACCAGCTCAGGCCTCTACCAAGTGCAAGGTGCTATGCCAGGTTCTTCACACGCCTCATCTCATTTAATCCTTGGAAGGACTGAATCCAAGAAAAGTATTATTGCCCCATTTTACAGATTAGGAAATCCAGGCTGAGAGAGGTATAAGCCTATGTCCTAAGACACAGCTACGGCAGACAAAGCAGGATTCGAACCCAGTTCTGTCAGATTTTGTTGTTTGTGTCCTTCCCCATGCTACCCCTCGCGCCAAGGATCTGAGTCCTGTGGCCCTGCTGCTGGCTCGGTGCATGCTTCCTGCCACTTCTCTCACCAGCCAGCCTGTCTCCACCTGCACTGTACACTGAGAACAAAGAGCTAGTCTTGGCACCACAGACACCTGGCCCGATTCCCCGGGGGAAGGAATTCCAGTACCAGAGAAGCACACATGTGCCTAGGAAGCCCCGGGGGAGCCAGAGGAAGCGGGGAAAACCACTCCTCACTGCGAATGGGGCAGGCCAGAGACCTCTGCCCAGCTTCCCCAAGACGGGAGGGGAGGGCACAATTCTCCCACCAGTGCTCCTGGCAAGAATCCTCGCTGTGGGTAGACTCACAGGGGAGCAGAGCACTCCAGGGTGGGACAGCAGTGGAACAGGGACATTCTCTAGTGGGAGCAGTCAGGAGCTTTGGCATGTGCTGGGAGCCCAGACACTAGACTTCCAAACCAGCCCAGATGCTCAGTCTCAGTCCTCACCCATTCCTGGGAGAGGGTCCCAGCAGGTTTGGGATGGCCTACCTGGCTCCCACAGTCCCTCCTCCCCATTGGCACCCAGGTGCTGGAGTCTGAGCTGGGAAAGGGGGCTTTCCACAGGAGGGGAGATGGGCCAGGAGGAAGGTGGGGATGCAGAAGATGAGGCCAGAGAGGACGGGACTGAGTCACTGCGGTCATCTCACCTGACAACCCAGGCCTTGAGGGCAGGGCTTCTCTGCTTGGCCCAGACAATAGGGCCCTGGGGCAGGTTGGTGGGGTGAGGCCAGCTACTGCTGGGGTGGAGCTGGCTCCTCATAAAGAGAGGGAGAGCCACTCCGGGCTCAGCATGAACTGCAAGGCCAAGGCCAAGATGAGGGGTAAGTGGGGTCCCTCCTCTAGGTCTGAGAGAGAGGCACCCGAGGAAGGAGGTGTTGGACACTCAAACAGGGAAAGGAACTAGATCGGGGGGTGGAGATGGACAAAGGGGGTTGAGATGGGTCTGAGGGGCAGTCTGGGTGTAAGGCCATGCAAGGGGAAGGAGGATGGGGACTGAGAACAGGGACTACAGAGAGGTCCAGGTGTTGAAAGTGAGTCAAGGGAATGGATATAGGTCTGGAGAATGAGTCTGGGGGTTGGGCCCATTCAAGGGGAAGGACATGGGGCCTGAGACAGGAATGGTGGTAGCTCAGGGAGATGGGAAAATTTGTCAGGGTGGAGAACGGATTTGGGAGGTTGAGGTAGGTCTGGGGGAGGGGGAGAGGAGGTGAGGCTTGGTGATCTCTCCCATGGGGCATGGTTACCCTGCTCCTATTTTCTGAGGAGTCACCCATGCAGAAGGCTCTCTTGGCATTGGGAAGGGCCTGCACTGGGAACCAGCTGGGTCTCCTGCCCCTCCTCAGTGGGTGGCCCCTGAAGATTCCTTACCTTCTGTGAGCCTCAGTTGTCCCGCCTGTCCAGACTGGACTAAGGGGGTTCTCACCTGCCCAAAAAAGCTAAGGCTAGTGCAACGGGGCTCAGTTTTTTTGCTCTTCCCCTTTAGAGTGGGCATCCCTGAGGAAACCACACAGCCTCTTGTTTCAGACTCACAGCTGAATTTCTCTGTGCAGCAGAGCAGTTAATTGTGGAGAAGAAAAGCAAGTCACTCAGGACTTGCTGCATGTTATATATTAACTATGGTTTCTGATCTTGGCTGCACATTAGAAAACCAGAGGGCTTTGAAAAAATATTGTGAGGCTGGAGAAGAACAGGACTGCCAATACAGGGCATTACTGCTAGTAATGTCGCTGAGAAACTAGTCACAATTCCCCCCACGCTCCTCCCCCAAAGAGAACCGTGCTTCACATACTCTCACTTTCACACACACAAATGCTCCCACAAATGCACACACTCCCAAAGAATACAGACACCCTCAGACTCTCCCACCCAGCCTCATGCTCAAACGCACCCAAACACAGGAACACAGACAAGCACATTCTCTCTCAAACTCCAGCACATGCACACATGTCATCCTCACTCTTCCAAACAGGCCAACACACACCCCATTCTACAACCCGTCTTGTCTTCCCAGATTCATCCGCATGTTTACTCAGGTACTCACAAGCACACCCCCTCACAGACAATCACAGACAATGCACAGTCATAAAGGGCAACAATCACAAACTCACAATCACAGAAACTTACATCACAGTCATTCTCAAATGCTCACAGACAAGCTCACACACACAGTCATCATCAGAAGCAGGCATATTTACAGTTAAAAATGAACCTGCACACACTCATGAGTTTTCAATTGCATACACACACATGACTTGCAGTCTACATTCACAATCACACAACTAACACCAGCACGGTCCACGCATACATTGATACCCCACACAACACAATAACCCCCACATAGACACAATCACATGTTTACAACCACACATTCGACAGACACTGCCTGATCTTACCACCCCCACTTGTTCACACAGCCAAGCTCACTGAGTAGGGCGGGGTACAGAGCCTGGGCCCCAGAAAGGCAGCCCTCATTCCTTTCTCTGCCCCAGGAATCCTCATCTTTGGGCTCCTGTTGGCTACTCCCAGCTGCCGTGGCTCCTATGATGACCTGGTCAAGTGCTTCCAGGACCCTGAATACGAGTCCATCCTTGTCACGGCCCAGGAGGGCCTCCACACCTCCCCACTGCCCAGGCACGTGGTGGTAATGGGAGCTGGCATATCCGGCCTGGCAGCGGCCAAGGCACTGCAGGATGCTGGCCACCAGATGAGCAGGTCTTGGAGGGGCCTCACTCACTTGCCTGCAGTTTTCTTCATTGGGTGGGAAAAGAAAAATAGTGAGGTGACAGCCAACTCTTAGACAACTGCCCATAACCCACTGGGTCTGTTAGCTTTAACTACTGTTCCTCAAAAATCCAGATTCCCCCTGACACCCTACCTTAACTGCAACTTGTGTTCTCATGGAAACAAAAGTAGAGAAGGGCTACGCAAACAGGAAAGGGCCAGGAGGCACTCTGTGCCCTGCCCCGAGGAGCTGTTCTGCCTCACTTACACTACTCAGGACCCTCCTGGAGGAAACCCCCCGGCTTCCCTGTTTGATTCCTCCATATTCTGGGACCTACTGCTGGGAACTCCAGACTAGAGCCTGTGGCCTGGTGGGGGTGGGAGAAGGGAGGGCATGACCTTGGGAACCTTCTCCGGACCCCAGGTAACCATCCTGAAAGCCAGAGCACCACGAGTGCTCACATTCAGGAATGAGGACGAGGGCTGGTGCTTTGAACTGGGGCCCATGTTAATCCCAAAGGCCCACAGGTAAGTCCCCGGCAAGGGATGGAGCGAAGGGCAATGAGGAGGAAAACGGAGGAGGTAGGAGGGGCCGGGCTGCCATCTTGTCAGAGTCCTTTCAGATTCACCGTCTCATGTGATTTACTCCTGCAAGTCACAACTCTGGCCTCCCACTTAACAGAGGAGACCAAGGCTCAGAGCCCAGGGTCACACAGAAAGTGGGAGAGCCCAAACTAATAACAATAGTCGCCATTAACTCAACAAATTGTGTACTTTAAACATGGGCAGCTTCTTATATGTCAATTGTACCACATTAAGCTACAAAATAATAGTAATCAAACATGGAAGCAACCCAAGTGTCCCTCGACTGATGATTGGATCAAGAAGATGTGGTATATATATATATATATATATACCACGGAATACTACTCAGCCATAAAAAAAGACAAAATCATCCCATTTGCAAAAACATGGATGGACCTGCAGGGTATTATGTTAAGTGAAATAAGCCAGAAATAGAAAGACAAACAGTGCATGATTTCACTTACACGTGGAAGATGAACCAACACACGGACAGATAGAACTGTTTGGTGGTTACCAGGGGTAGGGGGGTGGGGGGTGGGCACAAAGGGTGAAGGGATGCACTTATATGGTGACAGATAAACTATAATGTACAAAAAAATTTCACAATAATAAAAATAAATAAAAAATTAAAAAATAAAAAACAAAAAAGATAAAAATAGATAAAACGAACAACTGTATGACAACAAATATGAAAACAGTTGAAAAGGACATTAAAAAATATAACTTAGCAAATAAAAATAATAATAATAGTAATCAATATAATAGCTGGCGTTTGTTGAGCCAGGCCCTGTGCTAAGTGCTATACGTGCATTATTTCATTTGATCCCCACAATTCTATAATTTGATCCTCTTACTTTTCTCATTTACAAATCAAGAAACTGGGCTCAGAGATATTGCCTCACTCAAGGTTCTCCTAGGAGAAAGTGACAAAGTTCCTCCTCAAAATCAAGGAGGCACCTGGCACAAAAGCATATGCTCAACCCGTAAACCATAACTGAATCCTGGAAGAGAACCTGGCCCCTGGTTCTGAGGCTTTCAAGACAAAAAGAATGCCTCACCTGGTGTTCCATATGAAGGAAGTAAATTATATTAAAAATTTAAAAGTTAATACCTTAGAGACAGGCACCTCCACACCCTAAGGATTCCTGGTATAAGGGGGAACGTTTATCGATCCTGACTGACTCTATTCATGGAAGACTCGCCCTAAACTGTTCGGGGAAGAATTGAGAACAAGAGAGTGCTCCAGAGGGATAAGTTTGGG